AGATTTTCGAGGACACTTTAAGGACTCAACGTTAGAACTGCTTTACAGTCGTCACAGTTGGTAATCATCGACAGTATGTATACGCTGAATCTTGAGAGCTGACTTCTGTCAACTAGCAAAGTTTAAGTGGTTTTCGTCTTGCAACCAGATGAAAGGTAAATAGGACACGATACAACCCAAATCCCCAGAGGACCAATCAAATTAGTCACTGGTCAGTCTTCAAACAGCCAATCACGTTGGAGTTGCAAACTACTCTTCAGAAACTGTACAAACAAACGGAACTAGAGGAATTACCCACAAAACTACGCACTGACGACGTCAACTCTCGTGGTGACGAAGCACTTGTAATACATTGTCGAATTTCTGTAAACAGACCAAATGTCACCTAATCAAGAGCCCAAAAATTATCCCAAGATAATGAGAAAAATAGTGCCTTCGCTTTGTGGGTGCTATGATGACTTGAAAACGTGGTACATGGGCCGAGCAGTGTTCCCCGACGGGCTTAAATTTCGAATGCCTGACAAGCTATCATGAGGACCACGACGTTGACTTGGTATGCGGGTGTGAAAAGAACCACCGATCTGCTTTAGATAACAGGATCTTCCTGACCTCTTTGGGTTCGGCGAAAAATGTATTGTTTGCCTGAAAACCGAATGTCCTGGTGTTGGTTTCTATCTGAATTGTCTGAGTGTCCGGTGAGGTTTCTACAGCATACCCGCCGCGGTGACCCATTTTACACAAAAATTAAGACCTACAAATTCTGTACGGTTCAGAGGTATCTGATAGTGATGACCACAATCAGGTGACAAAATCGATGCTGAGGATGACAAACTGAATACTAATTCTGGTGCTGATGACCACACCGACGGCTAGCACGAAAACGATTACGGAGATCCATGTTGAGTGAAGCAGTAGGCAGAAGCTCTGTCCTTAATCTGAGTTTATAAGCACCGATCTATCCGAGCTCAGTAGCCTAGCCTACTCTACCTAAAATTTCATTTGACCAATTGGTGCTACTGTTCTGACTCACAGTACTTTGCTTTAAGTGAGTGAAACCAGCCTGATTGGATTCCTCACTTCTGAGTAACCTTTCTTCAAGGAACAGGTAGATTTGACCTCCAAAATACCAAGCTTGTGCNTCATGGGGGCACAGTAGCTTGAGACAACAATTTCCGGAAACCAAGGAAGATAATTACAGCTGTTTTGAATCGATTGGAAAAAGTTTGGAACCGATTGAGAAGTCATCGTTTCAGAAGAGCTTGGTAAACAATAGGTAGTTTTTATTTGGGCAACCTTTCGCTTCTGACACTAAAGCTGGCCAAGTGAACAGGTTATCAAATTGGCCAGGTTATAAGACAGACGGGGAAGCAATCAGTCAGTGCTTTTCACACTAGATCAGTGTTGAGTATCAGTTAACGGCTCTTATCGGCTAGTGTGGTTGCCAAAATCTTGGATTGATGGGTTGGAGTAGTTTCAAATTAGCTCCGATCGCTTTTTATTACTTAATCTTCCACTTGAGGGTGCTTCACTTGATGAACCACGTCGGGTGCCACTGGTAGATTTTTCTTGATCTTCATGGGCATGTGAATGATACGTAAGGTTAAGTGGAATCCAGATACTGACTACTCTTCCCTCTGATAATCGCACACCAACACGAGTTAGCTCGAGTGACCCAAGACCATTATCCACAGGCTTGCCAGTTCCACGCCTTCTATTTTGTTCACACCGGGATGCTTGGCGATTTCTACCGCCTTGGCGATCAGTCTGTGTGACGTCTGTCTGTGTGTCGCCTCAAAACCTCAACATTTTCCAGATCTATTTTGTGTCCCGTGTCCAGTGCGTGTTCCGTGATTGCCGAGTCTTTCAATAACGCTTGATGTTCATCTAAGTTTCTCGGCCGCCTGGTTATTGATTGAAAACCACCGATCTGCTTTAGATAACAGGATCTTTCTGACCTCTTTGGGTTCGGCGAAAGATGTATTGTTTACCTGGAAACTGAATTTTTCTTTGTGTTGGTTTCTATCTGAATTGTCTGACTGTCCAGTGAAGTTTTTAGAGCATACCCACCGCGGTGACCCATTTTACACAAAAAGTAAGGCCTACAAATTCCGTACCGTTCAGAGTTATCTGATGGTGATGACCACAATCAGGTGACAAAATCGAAGATCAGGATGACAATCTGAATGCTAATTCTGGTGCTGATGGCCACACCGACGGCTAGCACGAAAACGATTACGGAGATCCATGTTTATCCATGATGAGTGATGCACTAAGCAGAAGCTCTGTCCTTACTCTGAGTTTATCAGCGCCGATCTATCCGGGCTCAATAGCCTAGCCTACTCTACCTAAAATTTCATTTGACCAATTTGTACTACTGTTCTGACACACAGTACTTTGCTTAACGTTGACTCACCAGCCTGATTGGATTTCTCACTTCTGATTAGCCTCTCTTCAAAGAACAGGTAGATTTGACCTCCAAAATACCAAACTTTTCCGACTTGAGTGGCTTATGCCAGTTGAAAAAAGGAGTCACAGTAATGGAAGGCTTGGTGTTTGATCCGTTGGTTAGTGAGCAGTTTGCCTAGCTTGGGAATCAGCTTGAAGACGTCTCGTCACCAATCGAGGTGACATTGTAAGTGCGCGGTTTGACACACTGATTAAATATCACCTAAACTGGGAACGAAACGTTTGCAAGCTAATT